CAACGAAAGGCCATCCGGCTAATCGATGATCCTTCCCTAACATCCAGTCTACAGTCACTAGCCCATCGTCGGGCAGTTGCTTCATTGTCCCTGTTCTACCGCCACTACTTTGGTTTTTGTTCTTCGGAACTTGCCTCGGCAGTTCCTCTTCCTGCAACTTTTACCCGCACATCCCGTACACAGGCATCTAGTCATCTTTATCGGGTTTCTGTTCCCAAATGTCGTACCTCTTTACTCCAAACTTTTTTCTCCCCAACTGTGGAACACCCTCCCCCTTGTTGTTCTTCCCCCAACTTACAATACTACACTTTTTACACGCAGACACAATAAACTAGATATTACGTGAATGTTCCTCTATTCTCCCCTTTACAGTATACTATCTGTCCATGGGGATTTCCCCGTTTACTGTAATTCACATTGCGTAATAAAAAAAGATAATTAAAAAAAGATAACAGTCTGCTTCTCCCTGATAGGCAGGCGCTTGTACATTGACAGATTGTGTAGAATTTCCGAGACGGGCTATTTAAGGAACGAAGCGTAACATTTAAAACACCATGTTGCTCAGTTGATGTGTTAGGAACTGCGGATGAGCATCAAAAATGTATTTGAAAATGTCTGACTGCGACTTACCACCTTATAGGACGGAGTTCGTTGATCGGAGGCAGGTCCAGACGACGAAGCATCGTCCCGATGGTCTTCTGCATCAAAACCGATAAGAGAGCCTTCTACGACTGCATTCCGAAAGCAGGGAGAAAAGGAAGTGGATGTACCGAAAAATGTGTTGTCCAAGAAAGTGTTCGATGAATCAAAATAAGGCACTATAGTTCAAATAGGCAAAGTGAAAGATGCATATCATCAATGGAGAGTTCTTCCTTTCATAGTTCCAAGGTTATTTTTATTGGAATTCAAGAATATCTAAGTTTTAGACTGTAAACGCAACAAAAACGTATAGGGCAAGAGGAGGATCACATATTAAGGTAAAGAGACCAAAATGTATGATCTTATTCACCTGCCAACTATATTTTTGACATACTTTTAGCATTATACGGTTAACTCCTGCGTGAAAATTGGCCGAATTGTTTGATACCTCGGGCCGTTGTCTGCTGCTTTGCAGCAAAGGTCTACGCAGATTGATGCGAAGTTCTTGTTACAGTCCCATAAACGGTAACTGTTTCAAAGGCCCGATTTCTATACGTCCTACTTGTACGTGTTGTCCCAAGTCTAGGCGGTAGCACCAAACTAGACGTGCTGATGCTAGCAAGAACTCCTCAGTTCAGTTCAGCTTTTACAGCCATTAACCATACACTTTCGTGCGCCAGTTTTCGTTGCTGTCCTTTGGCCGCCCATTTGGATAAAAGAGATGAATGAAGATTGGAGTGTTGAGAGCAAATTCACGGGGGAATATAGAGAATTCGTACAGACTGAGGTTTCAAGAATAATGAGTAGATGCATGAGCGCCACCGTTGACGACACCCATTCATATCGCTTAGTGTCTCTAACCATCGGTGACCTTTGTCTCGGGGTCCCCAGACAGGGAGTCTAACGGGACCTATGTGACCCAGTGTCCTGGTTAAGGCTTTCATACTTTCATGCCACGTCTCAGTTTGACCGCCCTTGATCTAACCGATTCCTGCCTCGGCAAACATCGCACGCCGTAGCAACCCATTTGGTGACATGAGTAACACTTGCCCCAACCAGCGTAGTCTATGAAAGTCAACCACTTGTTCCAGTGGACCACCGCGATTACCTAAATTCAGTGTCTAACCTAAACATTGCTCGTTCGGTTACTCCACTAGACTCGTGCAGTGCGACGTGTACAGCAGTGCTCGAACACCGACAATCCATTTTTACCCTGTTCCTGTAATGACCAAATCTGTGCACCATAGAGTAGCACGGACCGAACTGCTGCAGCATACACTCAACACTTCACGGACAGTCGGATATCCCGACGGTGCCACCCATATCTCAAATTGGTAAATACAAATACAAAATAAATACAATACAGTCTTTTGAATCCGTACCGACACTTCTTCTGTGACGCGTCCGCCAGGTGGGATATAGCTGCCCAGATGGCAAAACTTGTCTACTCCATCTACTACTTACCCATTTAGGGTGTGGTCATCATCGTAGAGCGAAATACAGTGAAGCGAACTTCACTGACCGCCACCAAACTCACCATGCATACAAGGTTAGTGGTAAAATTTAAGGAGGACAGGGGTTGGATCTATTTTGAGGAAGGGAGAAGAAGATGAGCCACTATGGTCAACACACAGTACGCAATCGAACTCTGCATACATACCGTTTCAAGCATTCTGACCGGATAAGAAACGACAACAAGAACGCCACTGCTGCCGGTTCGCTGCCATATCCTTCAGTGTCTCCAACCAACCAGTTGTGGAGTCTTTCGGACCCCAACCTGGAAGGCGAGAGACACCTACTTTACCTAATGGCTCTGTGCCTTTCCTCATGCCTCGTCTCCACGTCAGCTGTTGACCTCCACGTGGTTTCCTCCAGCCCGGATTAGCTACAGCGAATAAAGCGCGGTGCGGCAGACGATGGCTGGGCATACGCAATACGTGCCCTAGCCAGCGAAGCCGACTAATCTGAATTCGGTACGCTAGCAGCTTTATGCCTGACTGACTCCCAAACACACGGTGGCTTACCTCCACGTTACTAACCCGTTCGCTCCATCCAACATGGGCTAAACTGCGTAAACACCGATAATGGAAAACTTGTAGTCGATGGATATCTTCTACTCGCAAATTCAGGGTCTCCGAACCCTAAAGAAGGACTGAACGAACGCTAGCACAATATACATGAACTTTCAACTTCAGTGAAACGTCGGGTCTACGCCAAAGGTGTCTCAGTCCTGCGTATGCTGTTCGAGCCTTGGGAATGTGGGCGGTTATCTCCTTTGCTGCACTACCGTCATTGGTCACGCAACTACCTAAGTAAGAAAAGTAATCCACCACAACCAAATCCTGGTCATTTAGTGTCAGAGCGGGAGTAGACAAAACCCAGTCCTG